ACTTCCCTTTCCACTTGTAACTCTACTATGTATTCGAAGCTCAGAACCACGTAGTCACTGGCTGCAAGGGGTCTTTCATATGTGATGTCCTCAATATCTGCACAGCTCAAGGTGAAAACTAGGTCCAATCTTGCTGGTTCATCCTCTCCCTCTCTCTGGTAGTGTCCCTTACATGTTGGTACATGAGGTTTTCCAGTACCACCTCCATTACCTTAGCCCTCCAGTCGATTTCCTTGTGATTGAAGTCACCCACAATCAGCAGCTTTGCCGTGTTCACATAAAACCTTCTGGGTACTTCAGCCAGTGTGTCAACCAATGCTCTATTAATCTCATCATACTCTTGCCTTGGCCTCCTGGTGTTCTGTAGTGGTTTATACATCACTGCAATTACCACCTTGGGACCTAAAGACTGAAGTGCTTCTATTATGTAGTCTCTTGCTTCTCCTCTGTCACCTCTCTCCAGTTCATCAAAACCCCAATGGTTTTTGATGAGAAGTGCCACTCCTTCACCCCTTCTGTTCCCTCTGTCTCTCCTCAGGATCTGATATCCCGTTGGAAAGATGGGATCTGTTATCATTCCTGCTATGATGTCCGGTAAGGCCTCTTTGATTCTTTCGTGCCATTCCTCCCACTTGTTTGTTATGCCATCAGTGTTGGTGTAATTTCAGTTTCTTCTCCAATGCTGTGTTCTGAGGGGTATGTGGGGGTGGGGGACCTGGCAGTGTGCTGTGGGATTCTAGAGCATAGTGTGTTGGGATAGCGTATTTGGTTATGAGGTTCTCGGGGTGGTTCTGTATGTCTTTGCACTTTTTGCTCTGCCCTGCTCTGGTTGTCCTCTGCTGACTCTGCCCTTGTCTCTCTTCCTAGCCCATTTCATTTCTGTGTCCTCTCCCTCCGCTGCTGTCACTCTGTTTTTATTCTATCACAGTCTAGGAACACCCTCTTTATGTTGATGACTCCTTCAGCTGTGGTTTCTCTTGCAGGATCCTGTTCTGCACTGTTTCTGTCTTGAAAATCAGTTTGACCAGCCGATTTCTTCCCATCAAGTACCCCCTTATTCTCTGAAAATTTACTATCTCAGTCATGTCCCCTTTGCCTATTTCTTTGATGATGTTTTCAATCTCCTGCTTTTCTTTCTGCCATCTTTCATTGTGTGTCCTCCCCTAGCCCATGAATAATCAATGACTTCTCCCTCTCCTCCTCCCATTGTCTTTTCCTCTGTGTCTCTGGGTCCTATTTGTACATGGCCATTGTCTCCCTTATTTTTTCCTGTAACTGCTATCCCTGCTCCCAGCAGCTTTCCCCATTCATTCCTCGGCCCTGCTTGGTGGACTGATAGGGCCTTAGTGTAAGTCATGTCTCCTTTCTTTCTGTTGGGCTCCTCATTCAGTAGGGATGTACCTGCTTCAGATGACATGTCTCCTCTGGGCAATAGTCCTGTAACTCGCTTCAGCCTATTTACCTCATATTCTAAGGCCCATATTCTGGTTTCTGCGGCTTTGGCTTGTGACTCCCTTTTCTTCTTCTCTGCCTTTATCCTCTTCTCTATTTTCACAGAAATCTCACCTAGTTTGCTCTCCCACTCTTGTTCCATCCTTTTACATTGCTCTTGCATCCATTCTTCCTTACCAGGACCATCTTCCTCTGATCCCCTGAGCCTTCGAATTCCCCTCTGAGTCAAATTTTTTAATGGGTTAGGTGTTGTAATGTGTGTGTGTGTGTGTGTGTGTGTGTAGGGGTGGGGGAGTTGTTAGGGGAGAGAGATGGGGAGAGGAAGGGAGGGGACAATGATGAAGAGGTGGAGGGAAAGTGGGAAGGGTGGTAGAGGGAGAGGGAGAGAAAGGGGGAAGGGAAGGAGGGAGGAGGGAAAAGCGAGAGAGGGGGAATGGGGGGGGGGAGGAGAGGAAGAGAAAGAATCAAGAGAGAGAGAGAGAGAGTGAAAGGAAGAGAGAGAAAGGCAAAGGGGGGGAGAGAAGGAGAGGGAGAAGTAGGGGGGAGGAGGAGCAGGAAGTGGGAGAAGTAGGGGGGAGGATTAGGAAGAGAAGAGCGAGAGCGCGAGACAGCGAAAGAGGGAGAAAGAGAGTGAGCGAGTGGGAGAGTGAGACAGTAAGAGTGTGAGACAGTGAGAAAGAGTGGAAGAGTGAGGCAGTACACGAGTGTGAGAGTGAGAGAGTAAGAGAGAGTGAGTGAGAGAGTGAGGCAATAAGACAGAGTGGGAGAGTGAGACAGTAAGAGTGGGAGAGTGAAACAGTAAGAGTGCGAGAGTGGGAGAGTGAGACAGTAAGAGTGGGAGAGTGAGACAGTAGGAGTGTGAGAGTGGGAGAGTAAAACGGTGTGAGAGTGGGAGAGTAAAACGGTGTGAGAGTGGGAGAGTGTGAGTGTGTGTGTGTGTGTGCGAGTGTGTGTGTGTGTGTGTGTGTGTGAGTGTATATATATGGGGGGTTGTATATGTGTGAGTGCGAGTGAGGTTCCTGTTTGTTAAGGCAGCTAACTGTTAGTAGGCTGTATATGAGTTTGTGTACATGCATGTGTGTACGTGTGTGCGTGTGTATGTGTGTGTGTGTGTTTATGAGTCACTTCGTATGTACACACTGCCTTTGTGTGCTTAAATTACTCTGTCAGTTCTAGAAACGTCTTTGTCCTGCTCCTACCCTCATTTGGCAGCTATGTTACTGTATGTTTATTTACTGTCAGTTTTGTCCAACCAAAGCGCCTGTGCGCACACTCACTAGTGTGTGTGTCAGCCTAAATGTGGTGGCCCAAATTTTCCTACTGAGCTTTTCTTCCTTACTAAATGCTAAGTGTTCTGTGTATGATATTCAGCTCTCCAGAGTAGGATTCCTGACCCCCCCAACTACGTGTGTGTGTGTGTGTGTGTGTGTGTGTGTGTGTGTGTGTGTGTGTGTAAGGGAGTAATGGGAACAATCTGTGTACATCTAAATTCTGACTGTGACCTTGACCACACAATTGCAGTAAAAAAAAATAAGTTTCCCATTAATTTGTGTACTATACGCTAGAGCAGATGAAGCACAGATCATATATATCCAACACTAGTGTCTATGTAATCGTGTTTTACAGCATCGCGAGAGTAACAAATTTTATTGAGGTGCAACTCGGACCTAATGTGAAAGGCAGAACAGTATGAACTGGTATTTTAGTACAGAGGCGCTTATTACTAAGCAAACATTTATTTGCGCATCGTTTCGCACACAATTCAGCTCTTCTGTGAGCGAATCGTATTTCAAAGAAAAGTTTGCACTGCTATATGTTTCTTTTTTTTTTCCTGCAGTACAGAGGACCAGTGAAAGTGTATCACTGCGTCTCTTTGTAAAAATGTTACAGTAACACCAGCTGGAGCCTTGGCAAGTCAGTGTCCGGGACAACACTGAGTTCAGGAGAATTTAAACAGACGTATTCAATGTGTTAAAGGTGATAGACGGTCGTCACAGAGGTCACCGGATCTGTTTTGAGTACCTCTTGCATATATTTGTTACTTTCCTGACATTGTGAAATTTCGTGTGTGTGTGTGTGTGTGTGTGTGTGTGTGTGTGTGTGTGTGTGTGTGTGTGTGTGTGTGTGTGTGTGTGTGTGTGTGTGTGTGGGTGTGTGTGTTTGTATGTGTGTGTGTGTGTACTCACCTAGTTGTACTCACCTAGTTGAGGTTGCGGGGGTCGAGTCCGAGCTCCTGGCCCCGCCTCTTCACTGATCGCTACTAGGTCACTCTCCCTGAGCCGTGAGCTTTATCATACCTCTGCTTAAAGCTATGTATGGATCCTGCCTCCACTACATCGCTTCCCAAACTATTCCACTTACTGACTACTCTGTGGCTGAAGAAATACTTCCTAACATCCCTGTGATTCATCTGTGTCTTCAGCTTCCAACTGTGTCCCCTTGTTACTGTGTCCAATCTCTGGAACATCCTGTGTGTGTGTGTGTGTGTGTGTGTGTGTTTGTGTATGTGTGTGTGTGTGGTGTGTGTGTGTGTGTGTGTGTGTGTGTATGTGTGTGTGTGTGTGTGTGTGTGTGTGTGTGTGTGTGTGTGTGTGTGTGTGTGTGTGTATGTGTGTGTGTGTGTGTGTGTGTGTGTGTGTGTGTGTGTGTGTGTGTGTGTGTATGTGTGTGTGTGTGTGTGTGTGTGTGTGTGTGTGTGTGTGTGTACTCACCTAGTTGAGGTTGCAGGGGTCGAGTCCGAGCTCCTGGCCCCGCCTCTTCACTGATCGCTACTAGGTCACTCTCCCTGAACCGTGAGCTTAATCATACCTCTGTGTGTGTGTGTGTGTGTGTGTGTGTGTGTGTGTGTGTGTGTGTGTGTGTGTGTGTGTGTGTGTGTGTGTGTGTGTGTGTGTGTGTGTGTGTGTGTGCACGTGTATTTACCAGAATAAATTATTTATATTGCTAAACATACACAACAGATTTAACCTTTACGAAGTGAATATCAGTGTGTCAGTAGTGGCTGATACAGTATGCAATGTTCCAGCAATGCATTATGTAAAACACTTTAGGAGTGTTTCCCCCAGGGCCTGTGGACCGCACTGTCCACCACTAGTATCACATGACAGCAGGCCGAGCAAGGTGCAGAAGGAAAGCAGTAGGAGTGACCAGCAAGACCAGGCTGGGGAGGGAGAGGTTCTCATCCCAACTACGCTCGTACCATCCCTCATTCCGTTCGTAAGTCTCAACTTCATTCCTTCACAGGTCTGCCATTTGTCTTTACGCCTCCATAGTTGGTTTTTAAAATCTAAAATCTTTTACCCTCCGCTCATTCCAAATCAAAAGGCATGATATGGAGTGAATTGGTCAGAAGTTTGTTAATTAGAAAGTTGGAACACAGATTGGTAATGGAGATGGGTGAGAGGGAGTCGGAGCCGGCGTTCGTTGGGCTGAGAACGAGCGATAGGAACTCAAGATGCGCCACCAGACATTGTTGTGTGCAAGCAGAGCTCCTACTCACGGATATTTTCTGCTGAAACAGTTGTTGTGCCTGTTGCTGTTGTTGCTGTTGTTGTTGTTGTAGCTGCTGCTGCTGTTGAAGCTGTTGTTGTTGGAGTTGCTGCTGCTGCTGCTGCTGTTGTTGTTGCTGCAACGTTTTATCGTCCACCATACCAGTCTGAAATAAAATAAAATAAAAAAATAATTGGTCACTCTAATCTGTACACATTAAAGGTATACACGTGAAAGATTGTAGAGAAAATTGATCTCGCCATTCAACCATCAACACTAATAATATTTTTGCTGACTTCCAAGACGAACCAGTTTTTAATGATCTCTGGAAGGAAGCAAATATTCGGGAGAACGCTAACAGAGATCACCACTGTCTAGCCGGAGCCGGACAGGTATCTAACGCTGGCTAGCTTGAACTAGACTGAGACTGACCGGAAGCTAACTAGAATTGCAATGGAATTAAGCAGTGACTAGTTAGAAATGGACCGGGATTGAGTAGTGGCCAAGAAGAACTGGACTGGGAATGACCGGTAACCATCTAGAACCAGAGTACAAGAGCCCAATACCAACGGCCTTTCAAAGTGACTAAGCAAAAGTCCACAGGAATTCAAAAGAAAATGAAAACACAATATGATACGTAAAATATTCAATGAAAAAGACAGTCTCGCAGGTAGAAACATTTGACCATAAGCACACCTGTGTAAGACAGACGTGACCATAAGCACACCTGTGTAAGACAGACGTGACCATAAGCACACCTGTGTAAGACAGACGTGACCATAAGCATACCTGTGTAACACAGACGTGACCATAAGCACACCTGTGTAAGACAGACGTGACCATAAGTACACCTGTGTAAGACAGGCGTGACCATAAGCACACCTGTGTAAGACAGACGTGACCATAAGCACACCTATGTAAGACACGTGACCTTAAGTATACTCGTGTAAGACATGTCACCATAAGCATAGGTACCCTAGTTGGTTGGCTAGTTAATGGAGTTTAAATTCTATCGACTGCACTAAGGTCAGTAAGGGTGCACCAAAAGACAAGAGTACTTTAATCCCTAAAATAGTAATTAAAGTAAATTCTCAGCATTTTCAGGTTGAACTTCACTAGTCCGGCATTCACTACTCCGGCATTCACTGGTCTGGCACTCACTGGTCTGGCACTCACTGGTCCGGCACTCACTGGTTCGGCATTCACTGGTCCGTTATAGTGATTTGAATCTTACGGTTATTTGTTTGCATGACCCCTGCTTGAGAGAAATATACCCCTCGAGGTATACTCGTATATCCTGTATACCCTGGTGTTAGACACATGAAAGTACGTCATGAATACGCTCTGTATTAACTTAAAGTAAATTATTCAAAACAAAATGAAAATATGGTCATCTAACAGCTGCTTGGATGAGTCATCTAATTAATATTCTGAATAAAATACTCAAGCTGAACTTGCCTTTTTTTTCTAATGTCTTTGAGTCCCATGACATGGTATGTCGCCAACGAAATAAAAAGTTTTCCTCGCTGGTTTCAGTTGCCCGATACACATTCCTCTTCATCATGCTCAAGGGGGAACTATGTAATAACTGTTCTTTGCGATATGAATTTAGTTTTCACTCTCAGTGGCTGCCTTGAGGTAAAATATTAGAACCAGTTTTAAATTTGCTATCACGATGAATATTTTTATGAATTTGAAACATGTGCAACATTTGAGCATTGAGGAAACGTTTCGTCAGGCAGTGGCTTCATCAGTCCTAAATAAAGAAGAATGGTGAAGATCAGAAAGAGTTTGAGGTAATTAGTCCCTCAGCCTGGAGTCGACATAATCAGTGCAACAATCTTAAAAAGAATACAGCAAATAGGCGAAGTGGTTTATATACTGTAGACAGGTGAGGTGAAGCAGTCGTAGGCGGTATCACAGTGGATAAATCCACATGTGGAATTAGGTCATACCTATAGGATGGGAAAGTGAAGAATTCCCTATATCAAGATCCGACCATGTTGCTGTGTCTGACAGGAATGTAGATAACCTATAGTCATGCAGATCTGTCCACTGTGATATAGCCTACGACTGCTTCACCTCACCTGTCTACAGGTGTATTATTTTCAAGACTGTTGGACTGATTACATCGACTCCAGGCTGATGGACTGATTACCTCAAACTCCTTCTGGTCTTCACCATTCATCTTTGTTTAGAACTGATGAAGCCACTGTGTGGCGAAACGTTCCCTCAGTTATGATACCCAAATATCGCACATTTGTTTAATTTATCAGCTTGTCGGTTCTCTGAACCATTTATTTACATGAATATTTTCTTTACATCTTGAAGGTTCATAGGCAAGAAAATTATTAAGTATTGTAAGTACGTCAGGGAGCAAAGATGTGATGGGTCTGTCTATCGGTGCTTACAAAAATGTTATGAAATGTGAGTAATAAATTATCGAGGACTAATGATCGACAGGGTCCGCCCTATTGTTGTTAAATGTTTACCTCATAAATTCAGCAAGGTTGGCTGCCATTCTGGCAATACTGGTGCAAAAAATGTTTGTTCATCCATATCCACTATTGTGGTTATTGTACACTCGTTATTCTTCATTTTAAAATAATCCATTATAATCAACTTTGAATTTAGTAATAAATAAAATATTGGAAGAGAATACACTTTGTAAAACACTAAAGTGGATAGTAGAGAGAGAGAGAGAGAGAGAGAGATGCAGGACCATGTGCAGAAACGGAGATAAATCAGTCAGAGAGGAAGATCCAAATTCAGTATGCAGAGAGAAGATGGCAAGATGATGGATGGTAGTTAGTAAGGTTCTGTGTCATACACTGTCAGAGCTTAAGAAAATATCTAGAGTAATGGCTAAGGACTTCTCCTGTGGCCAAGGTGATTTATCTTCTTTCCTAGACAAGGAGATAAGAGAAATCACCGACAGAAGAGCCCTTCCGGAGTCATTATTGTTCAGCACAATGATTATAGGGTTTTAGCTTCTCAAGTTTCACATAGAGAAAAGCCTAAAACACCTTTGAGGTAATGGAAGGTAGGGCAATGAAGTTATAGTTAGAAGAGTTGAAGTAGTCATATTTCTTGAGATACTATGAACCATTAATTGATGCCCGGAAGACGGAAACTTAGATGTTAGATAACGAGAAAAAAAATATGCAGTTATACAGAGGGAGTTAATCCGCAGAGAAAGACACATGTAACGAATAAACATTTGATCCAGAATAGAAGTAAATCCTGAGAGACGTATGTATAACTAGGAATAATTAAGATAGTTTAGTTGAAAGCTATGAGAGACAAAGACATAAAAGGGAAAACAAGCGAGTTAGTATAGAAGTTTTGAGTGACACAGATTTATAACGAGGAAACAGGCGAGTTAGTATAGGCGTAAGCTCTAAGTAACACAAAGAAACATAACAAGGGATAAATGAGAAGGTATAAGCAGAGGTGTTCTGGAGAAAGTTAGGATAGGTCCGTTCCAACCGTTTATTTTTTACACAAATCAGTTTTACAGGCTAAGAGCTGTTATCCTTATACTACCACCACCCCCGGTATGCCACCCACACCAATCAACTAATACCCAGTTTGAGGTAATATATAGTAATAAATTGAGATTAATTCCGAGATAGAGAAGAAATGAAAAGGTGGTAGGACGGGCAAGTGAGAAACAATAAGATTGAAATAAATAAAGCATTCCGAATAAAAAATGGAATGGAAAAAGGCCGATGAATCGAAGTGGGGAACTGCCAAGAACAGTGAGGAAAAAGGCACGTTTACACGAACAACTTCTATTGGCAGAACGATGATGTTGATACCTGTCCAAGATAATTGTTGCTCTGAGCATTTAAAAAAAACTCGAAACCGAAATGTACGGACAATGAGTCCTGCAGGTTGTACAGGAATTAATGAAGATGTATACGAGTATATTAAACTGGATATAATTATATTCTAAGGGAATTGCATTATCTGGGAGTATAAAGGTTAAGCGACATAAATCCTGCACACATATACTACGATATGATCACCTTGTATACCCTAGATACCCGAGACACTCTAGGTATCCGAGACATCCTAGATACACTTAAGACACCCTAGACATCTTAAACATGCAAGACGCCCTAGACATTCAAAATAACCTAGACCCACAAAACACTCTAAACACTATAGACATCCAGGACACTCTAGAATACTAGATACCCTAGACGCCAGACACACACACTAGACACCCGACGCACCCTAGACACCCGACGCACCCTAGACACCCGACACACCCTAGACACCCGACGCACCCTAGACACCCGACACATCCTAGACACCCGACGCACCCTAGACACCTGACACATCCTAGACACCCGACACACCCTAGATACCCGACACACCCTAGACACTCGTACCGTGACGCTCGCGGATTTACGTCGCTCTCTGACCCTCAGTCTTAATCAGAACTGATGGTTAAGAAATTACCATCAGTCCTGGGTGCTGGTGTCGGGTCCTGAGTCAAAGTTACTTCAAATATCTCATAATAATTTATCTGTCGCACACAGGCGAGGTGAGTCGCTATAACATTACATACACCAGAGTAATTAAGTCACAGTAATGAAATCTCACCTCTTGTTAATTAATTACTCATGTAATCTTTTAAGCTCAACCGGATTTCATAGTTACCTGGAGTTTACCTGGAGAGAGTTTCGGGGGTCAACGCCCCCGCGGCCCGGTCTGATGTATTTAATAATATTTTCTCCATGGAGAAGTGGAACAGAATTCTTCCTCCGTAGCTCATGCGTGTCGTAAGAGGCAACTAAAATGCCGGGAGCGAGGGGCTGGTAACCCCCTTGTAACTCTATAAATTATTAAATTTAAAAAAGAAAACTTCGTTTTTCTTTTTAGATCACCCTGTCTCGGTGGGATACGACCTGTTTGTTGAAAAAAATATATTAATATTTTTTATATTGCAGTCAGGGGATTTCCTTACATTTCTTCAATTATTTTATATGTAAAATACGAAAAAAATCCTGCCTGTCCAGTATGAAGGCTAGTGCACGAAAAATAGTATTAGGCTTTTGTATACATTTGACAGACTATTTTTTGATAATTTGTGTAAAATTTTAGTTTTTTCCCTGTGTAATTAATGCAGCAATATTCACAAACTTGTTATCACCG